GGAGCTAGGTAGCTGATGGAGGTGACAGGAAGGTTCTATGAGAGGTGGGCCTCTGATCCTGCTTGTGTGAAGGCGGGAAGCAGTCAATCATCTCTACAGGACCTTGTGGTAGAAGTCACGATTATGAAGTGAGAACTATCATATTAGTGGGGGAACTGCATCTCTAAACAACAAACATGAGATTCAAGAGCGCCTGCCCTGAGTTTACGCCACTTCTCTTGCAGATACAAACTGGAGTGTTGGGCAACAGGACCACACCCCCCACCACCACCACCACTAACCCTCCCCTCGGCAACAGGAGAACTAAGAGTGCAGCCCCAGCGCTCAGCAGCCTGGGCAGCGGCAGTGTCCTTCTCTTCTTGACCAACACCCTCATCCAGCTCTTCCACCTCAGCTGAGGTGACATGCCTCAGCCTGAGCCCTGTGTCCCCTGAGATGGCTGCCACCATCACTAGCAAGAGAAGCCCCTTCCCATCAATCCTTGGCAGGGGTTGATGCCAGAGATCACCAGTTGTGGGAATGGACAGATAGTGCCTTGGGGACAATGGCCAACAGAGGGAGCTGTTGATGTGGAGGGGCTAGCATCACCCACTGGGAGTCAATAAAGTTGTCCTGTACTTGGAGTGGGGTCCTATGTGTGGTTACTGGTCATCACTGGGCCCCAAGAACCAGGTCTGCAGCAATGCCAAGGAGCCTCCCATGCCCCATTAGCCTCCCGCCCCAGCTCCCCTGCCCCAAAGTCCAAATGCGGAGGCCCCTTCCCTTAGGATCACTTCGCAGGGACAGGCCCAGAACCTGCCATCTTCACCGTCCCCTTTAGTTGCATTTGCTTCATTTGTCCCTGGGCGTTTGGAAATGATGGTTCCAGTGGACCTCCCAACCCCACCCACCCATACCCTGGATGCCTCCAGTTGCAGAGGTTCAGAGACCCCCAAACCCAGTACCTGGGTGTCTTCAGAATGACGGATTCAGAGAGAACAAGCCCCCTCCCAGTCTCGAGAGGTTCCCAGCCTCACATCTCCAGCCATGAGGGGCTGAGAAGATGAGGAGGCAGCTGTCCACTTTCGCCCTGCCCACCTATGTGCTGGGAAGGCAGGAAGAACAAATAACGGCTCTAACCACTCCTTCCCTTCCTGAGTTTTGGGCTGGCGGTAATAAGGGCTGCAGAGAGGAAAAGGAACCCCAGAGAAGGCCACAAGGGTGTTAACCATCTCTGAGGACCTTGCCCAAGCAGCCAAAAAGTGCCTGCTAGATTGGGGGACAGAGGAGCTGCTGCTCTTCTGTCATGCCCTCTGAGCTGGGCAAAGGACCCAGACCCTCTGTCCTGGCTTCTTGACTAAGGCCAAACCTTTAGGCCTTGAGACCAGAGTCAGGGAAAATTGAGAGGTGCCCCAGTGGGCAAGGCCCTTGGGGTGTGGCTCCCACTCACCTTGCCCTCCCGGCCCACTGTGCATCCATCCCATTGAACTTCCCAGTTTCACCCCTGGACTTGTCTGCATCTCTAGAATATTTCCTCTGCTCCCCTCTAGCCTGGCTGACTCCCTCCTCCACATCTCAGCTGAGCAGCTCACCCTGAGCCCTAAATGGTTTGGGTTCCTGCACTGTGCATCCCTCCACTTCTGTTCTTACCCTGTTACTTAGCGTACTGCTCTACCCATCAGAATCCTCCACTGGACCTGTGGAGGGACTTGGTTCATGTGTGTACCCCCACAGACCAGTGCCAGACCTGGCTCAGAGCAGTCTCTCAGAACACATCGTTTGGGGGTGGCTGTGTTTTTATAAAAAAACAAACCACCACACACTTATCAGTTAGTCTGGTCTCAGGGGTCCCTCTGGTGGCAAAGGAAGGCATTACATCTGAGCCCCAGAACTGGAACAGGAAGGGAAGGAAGAAGCCAGCCTGAGTGTAGGGGAAGAAGGCGGGTGAACAAATCCTCACCCACCCCCAAATATCAAGTTGCACAGAGATGAGGATACTGACAGCATATTAGAAAACAACTTATTTTACAACAACAAAACCTATACAAACATTTCATCCCAGGGAAAGCCGCCAGGGCTGGAAAAGGGGAGTGTCAAAGCACATGGACAGTCCAGATCTGGGACACCCTGTCCTTGGTCAGCTCCCACAGCACTGCATGGTCCTGGTCATAGCCCCGGCCACCTGACGGAAGGGGTAAGAGAAGGAGAGATGGTCAGAGAGACACTGTCCTCAGTTCCCCTAGACGCCTTCTCCCACAAGTACCCCCACCTTACCCTTCACATCTAGGATCCGGCCTTCGAACATCTGGCTGCAGATGTGGCCCGATTCGTTGATGCTCCACGTCTGGCGGGGAAGGCGGCTCTCAGCCCACAGCACCACCTTGGAGCCTGTGCTGGGGGGCCCAATCACCTGCAGGCTCATGGTGGGAGCCACCTGAGGCCCCAGGGGGTCATCAGGCACTGTTTTCCCCCCACAGCCCACAGAGACTCCACCAAACCCAAGATACCCTTGACACACCCAGCTTTGAATCCTTGCTCTTATGGCTCTTTGGGGATATCTCTTAATCCTTCTGAGCTTTGGTTTTCTGGGATGGTTGTTGTAAAGGTTCAATGTGAGACACCATGGAAGGGCTGAAAAAATATTAGCTCTTCCAAGAAGCTTGGCATCAGACAAGCCTCACACACTTACTGGCTACATGACTTTCAGCCAGTTACTTAACTCCTCTGTGCTCTGCTTTCCTCGCCCGTAAAACGGAGAGTAAAATAGGACCTGCCCACAGTGCCCGCTAAGGATGATACGAGGTATTCACGCGAAAGGCTTAATGCGGCACTGGGGACACAGCCAGTGTTCCCTCTCATTCTAAGTAAAAGATAATCCTTTAATAGCCTAGAAAGACCTACACCCCCATAATCGTTCTGATCTCATGTCCTGCTACTTCTTCCTCACTCACTTCACTACAGCCGTTCAGGTGGCCTTGCGAGTCCTGGAAAATACCAGGCATATTCTCGCCTCGGGGCCTTTGCACGTGCTATTTCCTCTGCCTGGAATACTCTTCCCTCAGACATCTGCCTCCCTCAAATGTCGCCCTCCCAGAAAGGGCTCCCCTTATCAATTGTACTTTTAATCATCTAAAGTACTAAGATATTTCACTCATTTAACTTGTTTCTGCCTCTCCCCACTAGGATGTAAGCCTCAGGAGGGCAGGAGTCATTTCTGGCTTCTCACTGTTGTATTCTTAGCACCTAGAACAGTGCCTGGCGCACGGTAGGTACTCAGGAAATGTTTGTGGAGTGAATCTATCATTACTAGGATCCAAGTTCTGTCACAGGTTATCAGAGCTGGGCAGTCCCCTAGAAGCATCTGGTTCAATGTTCTTTCCTGCT